CCTTTGCAGTCGCGGCCGGCAGTCAGTGCGTCCTGTTCCTCATATATCTCATCGCCTACATGTGCATTCAGACCTACTCGCCCACGGACAAAACGAAGTCTTATATCAACATCGCTCATTTCACGATTGGTCTAATCTCGCCTTCCGGAAACCTCCTTCGTGCTCTCTTCGTGGCCCTGAATGTATTCTCCATACTATGCCGGGGAAGGGAAGTTGCCTCCTACCCAGGAGAAATCACTCTCTACGGCGGGCCCATTCTCTACCTTATTGTCCAGTCTTTCATTCTCTTCGGTTTACTCCTATGGTTCGATGGGGGCTCCATCCTTTCACTATTACGTTCCAAATCCAAACCCAACGACGAAGAAGAGAAATACGCATTAGACAAAGACACCAACCCCGAGAAGTCACAATCCACAAACCCAAATCCAAACAACGGGCTCCGCGTCCGCCATCTCACGAAAGCCTTCCACAAATTCACCGCAGTAGAAGACATCACCTTCAGCGTCAGCAAAGGCGAAGTATTCGCCCTTCTGGGCCCCAACGGCGCCGGCAAAACAACAACCATCTCTCTCATACGAGGTGACACCCCACCCTCCCGAAATGGAGGCGACATATTTGTCGACAACATCTCCGTCCTGCGACACCGTGCTTCCGCCCGATCTCACCTCGGCGTCTGTCCCCAGTTCGACGCAATGGATCAAATGACCGTTCTAGAACACCTCACCTTCTATGCCCGCATCCGCGGCGTCCCCGATGTGCCCCACAACGTGAACGAGGTCATCCGAGCCGTCGGCCTAACACCCTTCAAACACCGCATGGCGCTTACTCTATCCGGCGGAAACAAACGCAAGCTGTCCCTCGGCATTGCCTTGATGGGTAACCCTACTGTTTTACTACTCGATGAGCCGTCGTCTGGTATGGACGCCGCGTCGAAAAGAGTCATGTGGAAGACCCTCGCTGCTGTTGCTTCTGGACGCTCGATTGTCCTCACCACTCATTCTATGGAGGAGGCCGATGCCCTCGCTCATCGGGCGGGTATCATGGCGAAGCGCATGTTGGCTCTCGGTACCACGGATTCCCTGCGCTCAAATTACGGGAATAGATACCATGTTCATTTGGTACATCGCCTGGCTCCACATACGAGTGAAGAGGATATGCAACGGATCCGCACGTGGGTTGGTCAGAACCTCCTTGGAGCTGTTATTGAGGAGAAGACGTATCATGGTCAGCTACGTTTTACGGTGCCTGCTACTGGGTCGGAGTCGACGGAGTCCGATGATTATGACGGTGATACCATGTCGCCATCCGAAGTCGATATGGACACCATCAAGGGAGGAAGGGACACCGGCAATAATAGCATCGTCAAGCTCTTTTCGCATCTTGAGGAGAGTAAGGAGGAGCTTGGGGTACAGTTCTATTCTGTTAGTCAGACGACGCTGGATCAGGTGTTTTTGACTATTGTTGGGCAGCATAATATTGCGGAGGAAGGTTCTGGTCAAATATCCTCGGCGAAGGAATAGGTTTCTCTCTTTTTACTTTTTCTTTCCTTGTATTTCCTTCTGCTCTTCTTTTTTATTCGGTTGGTTTATCTTCCCTGTGCATATATTGGTGTATATATTCCCTTTTTGTGGGATTATAAGACATTGTTTGATCTCAAAATGGGTGGATGTATGTCCGTTACTTATTTCATTGGACTGGCTAACACATAACTGCTTACTCCTTTATATTCGTTGCCATATCATTGATATCATGGCGCATTATTTACAGAATATAACCATGCTAATAAATGTACCGGAAACTGTAAAGTAGACACGTTAGCATAAACACCGCACACAGTCAACACGATAAAACGAGAAAAAAAACATACTTCAAGTTCTCCCTATCCGTCAGATCCAAGAAAGCAGTCGCATCCAGATCTCTACCTTCCAGCCCACCTTCCATCTGAGACTGTATCTTATCCCTCTTTCTATTCTCCCAGCGAAGCAGAAGACCCAAGATACTGATGAGGACAGCTTCAATAAGATGCGAAACGATCATGGACCAGATGCCGAGCTCGTAGGTTGGTCTGGTTGAATGACCGGGTTAGCATCGGATGTAGAGACTCCACGATTGGGCTCACTCACTTCTGGCTCTCCTTGTAGAAGAATGGACCGGCGATGTTTCCGGTGCAGTACCCCAGGAAGAGGACTGCGTTTGTGACTACTTTCTTTGTGTGGCCTGGAATGATTGTAGTTAGTTGGGTGAATAGGGTGGAATTTCTAGGATGCCGTACCAGCTGTGTTTGCGACTTGCATACTCAGGACCAGAACGAAGGCTGCGTTGTATGGGCCTGTTAAGTAATAGCAGATTAGTCGGCCGACTTGTTGATCTGTCGGGACGAAGCGTAGGCCGAATGCCCCTGCTATATTTGGTAAGAGGAAGATTAGGATGAAGACGCAGCGTCTGTTCTCGAAGCGGTCGTTGAGATATACGCAGGCTAGAATGGAGAGTGCGATCAGGGCTCCGTAGGGTATCTGGATGATGAAGTTGAGCTTTTGCTATAGTTTGGCGTCGTCAGTGTGGCTGCTTACCTGCATCAAGGTAGTTACTAGGGTAGAAAACCCGAAACCTTTAATGATTATGGTTCCAAAATTAGATATGCCGCCGTTCGGAATATTGCCTGGATAAGCGGCCGTATAAGCTATGATAATCATACATTCAAGGGAGAGGGTTTTGTACAAACTAGACCGAGGGCGAAGAAGAAATATATCTTGTAGTCTAGGAACGCTTCGAGAATCTGGTAAGGCTTGAGATGCTTGTTTTCGACACCGGTCTGATTATCTCGTATTCTCGCCACTGCGATTCGACGCTCCCTTTGGGTGAGGCCTGGTGCCGAGACCGGTGAATCAGGGAGGAAGATGAACATGACGATTCCCCAGGCTGAGCAAAGTGCGCCACTAGACGGCATCTTCATCTTAGAGAGTATTTCAATGGTAATCAAACGAAAGGGTTGCTTACATCACAATAAATTCGTACTTCCACGATGGAAGTGCACCTCTGATATGACCGATTCCATAGCCTAATAGACCGCCGAGAGCAATTCCAAGCCCGTTGGCCGTATACCATAAACCAATACGGACAGGTTGTTCGCGTCGTGTATACCACATACTAGTGATGAGCATAAACGCAGGATCTGCACAAGCTTCTGCGGCTCCTCCCAGCGCTCGAAGCACAGCAAGTGTAGCGAAATTGTGACACGCGGCTTGGATCATCAGGAAAACACCCCTATGGGCTGTTAGATGGTCGTCTGGCTATATTATGGCAAAGAGTAAGAAACGTACCACATGAAGATATTCGCTCCAAGGTATTTTCCTAAGACAGGTCAGTTAGATCATGTTCTATACGCCATTGCAGTTAAGAAAATACCTATAGGCAATCTTTGCATCAGGAAGTTTGTCGGGAACGCCCAGGCAAGGAATCCAAAGTAGAAAATACTACTGAGCCAACTATACTGTGTCCCGTGAAGGTTAAGGTCTTCATTGATCCCAAAGATTGCCGCATAGCTCAATGTGGTCTGCAAATGCATACAGTTATGTGTTAGCCGGTCCAATGAAATAAGTACTAGTACGCACGTTGAAGACGATCCTTAATTACCTTATCAATATAGAAGAAGGCGTAGCAAACTGCTAGATACGGTAATATCATAAAGTCAATTTTCCAGAGCAGTTTGCGTGCCTCAACTGGATCCACGGGTTCCTGAAGTTCCTCATCGTTAAACAGGGCCATGGCGGTGTCGCCATCTTTTGGTTCTGGTGCTTTCAAGCCTGCCACGATATGTGTGTTCTCACTGTGAATAAATGTAGGTGCTTCTGCCGAGTCAATCATGGAGCCCTTTCCAGGCTCCAGCTCAGGGTTGCCGGTCATCTTGGTGACCGTTTCTTTCTTCTTCGCGTGCGAGCCAGCAAAGCTGTCAGTTTCTAGTTCGACGCAAATACAGACCTCAGGGAAACGCTGTGTCAGGACGGGGAGGGGTCATCGTTGTTTTTATGGAGACCCAAGCCTGATGTCAGGTCATCAAGCATGGTCACTGACGACGAAGCTTAATCTACCCTCAAATCCAGTTGTATCCGCAACGAAACGAACAACTCCAGTTTCGTCGTTATGGACTGGCTGGGGCAGGTTCTCTATCCCCACGCAGACCCACCGCGGTGGACGGGAGCTCCATCTGGGGTTTAGCAATATGCGGGGAACTGACCCGTTGATCCATCGAGTCTCGAAGTAAGCCCGAGGTCGCACTATAAACGTGGGGGTTTGCACACCTTCTAAGACCGCTCGGAGTAAGGCCGTGCGATCGTATACTAGGCGAAGCTGTTCTGTTACGACACGATTGGGTAATGCAAAAAGAGTTCGGACAAAAGACCGAAAAAAAGAGACAAAAAGCTCATGAGGAACAATAGGTGGAAAATTCACGACCGTGTGCCGATCCTGCCGAATAAAGAAGTTGGGGAAGAATTGGAAAGGTTGGGGTATAAAGTATTGACTCCAAGATTTCTGGATAGCTATGGTGGATGCACCATATTCTCTTGAGAAGGAATTGATGAAGAGTGTTCATGTGGCTGATTTACCGGCCCAATACGAGCCTGATTAGATCCTGCAGGAAACTCTTGCAAATCGATGGGCTCTGTGCAAATCGGAGAATTTATGGGATATGGCCTCTAGCATAAAGGAGAATAACCTCGGTTCACGCATCCATGTCACTTTGCTAAATCCCATCTTGTCGGATTCTTTTTAGATCAATGTAGTAGTCCTGCGCTTCTAAAGGTGTGTCTTGCAGTATATAAGCGCGAGAATGCCCAAGCATTTCATCTGCAAAGCTTCTTGCATTGTTGCACAGGACACTTATCCATGTTCATCTAATAGATTGTGGAGTGGCCCTAATGCTTCGTAATGGCATGGCTGACACATTATCACTCTCTTTGCTTGGTCCGATTCGGTTTTCAGAGTCCCTGGTATCAAGCCATTTACCATGGTGCTGTTGTAACTGCATCATGCTGGTTTGGATGGTCTGAGGGTCGGCTCCAGTTCCAGATGAGCAAAAGCCCCTGAAGACAGTCGTATTTTGATTCCCGTCCCATGTCGTCAAGGGGGTCTGGATGATCTGATGGTAAAGAAACTTCTCGAAAGGTTTCACCATTTTCGACATATAGAGGAGTTACTCCTATTATGATGATATTAAAATAGTCTTTGAATGGCCTGACAATGCTCGGCTTGGATGCCCCTTGTATGAAACAGACAATATCCCCAGGCTTGACGGCCTGTGCTGAGACCCGCACGGTCCATTTAACAGTGCCTCGTTCGACGTAATGACTACAGTGACTTCTCGAATCCTTGATGCGCTGAAGCGATTGCATCGAGTTGATCAAGTCAATGTGCACATGCTGTCTGTCAAATCGAGATTTGTCTCCGTACGCTGCAGATACCCTCCCTAGGCTATAGCCCATACCCTTGATCAACGCTAACTCTTTATCGGGCCAAGTTTCGATCGATACCCTTTGAGACAGAACATGCCTAATGATTCGCTGGAAGAGGAGTTCCCAAGGGACCTCATAGTGAGGCAACAAGCCCGCTGCCTCTAGGTTTTCGCAGCACATACCAAGAAGGGCAAACACTTTATCATGGCGTATGGTGGCCTTGTGGGAATGGTACATATCAAGTAACTCGCCCAGAGGGCGTCTCCTCTCGTGCAGTACACTTTGACCCGGACGGAATATTGCTCTTCCTAAGAGATAAGTGACTGGGCGTACGGAATTGATCAAACTCTGCAGCTCGGACATCTGTTGTTAAAGTCCTCTATACCGCGCAAACCCGAGGAAAATGCATAGCCATTCATCTCCATAGGGCCACATTTGACCAGGACCGACCGAGCAACTCCAACCTCTTGAAGAACCTGTAATGTTGTTAATAAAGCTCCTCCATATATATACCTCACTCAGTGCTTTCCCTTACCCAGACCCGCCGGAACCAAGGGCGTTCCAAGAGTGCTATAAGTGCCGTATCATTGATTTCTTCCAACAGACGCTCGCCTTCCGCAGCGACTTGTAATCTCGCTAGCGTCGAAGTGCTATCATTCTCTTCTTCTCCAAGCCAAACGATAACATTTCTAGCTTGCCCATAAATTCTGGCCATCAATTGAATCTGCCGTTCTTTCTCTATATTGCTTTTCTGGTCGATACATATAGCATCGACCCACAGCAGCCTCGGGAACCGTTGATATCGAAGGCGCGACAGCGCTGCATGTAAGTTTGCCGTGACTTCCAGGGCGTAGCTGTTAACGCATATCGAAGAGGGGTTTTCTGTGGAGCCCCAAACATATGACAGGGCTTCGTAGGCTTGCTCCTCTTGTTCTTTGAGGGGGTGCTCAATGAGCTCACATTCAATTAGAGCAGCCCGGTTTTTATTCGGTAAGAGGCGAAGCACGCGAATGGTATTATGTCCAGGTGGAAGTAGTGTATAATTATAGGCAGACATTTTGTCAAACATTTTTCCGTAGAGAATATCAGGTATACTCCAAACGGACTCTCGTGGAGTAGCAGAATTCGTTGTGCATCCCAAGGCTGATGTTAACGAGAGAGGAACCAACCCCGCCAAAAATCATAAATATAAATCCCGCGCATCAGCACAATATCGAGCAGTGCCGGTGGTTCTTTTATGAATTCTAGTTTCTTCCAAGAACATACCCTATATTGATCTCTATCCAAGGTTACAAGAAATAATAAATCAGTAAACGTCAATGGCCATATACAAGTAATAATACAGTCGCCAAATGCAAAACCCCAAATGAGCAGCGGCCCTTTAACGGCGCCGTTTCTGTCCACGGCCGCGTCCTCCCTGTCCTCTCTGGCCGGAAAGGGCAGACTTCTGTCGGAGGTAGTTCGAAACGATATTCTCAACGCTGCGCATATCGTGTCTGGGTTGTCTGTGGGGTGAAACAAGACATGTTAGCCAAATCAAGCACGGAGAGAACACACAAAACCACCAATAATAAGCCATATACGCACCTCATGTAGTACAACCTGGCTCTTCTCTTCCTCTTCTCTGTCCTCTGTACAATTTCCACGCTCTCAACGTTGGGACTGAAAACCTTCACCCACATCTCAACACCGACCCTGGTAAGCTCATTGCGAAGCAAGAACGTAGTGTCAATGCCGCGAAGACGAATGCTAAGACAGACTCCGGAGAATGGGTCCCCGTTCTTGAAGGTCACGCGCAGAATGTCGCCGACCTTCACACTGCGTGGGTTTCTTCTGTAGTCGAAAAGTGCTTTGCGTTCACCGGTTGGATCAAGAGCTGCAAATTGAGATTCGGTCACTGCTGCCACGGGGTCTTTGCAAACCGAGCGGCTTGAAGGCGGAGCAGGGTAGACTTTGAGCTTCTTGCGGCCTGTTCAGGGGTACATTAGCTATCTGACAGCACCCTCGGGGGTAGATTAAAAGGCGCAAGGAATACCATTGGTGGGCTGATGGCGAGGAGGTATTTGAGAAAGGAACGACTTGGGCAATTTGTTCGGAAGAGGCACGGGCTCTTGTTTCGGAGTGTACGCAGTCGTGATGGATCGGCGTGCGATTTGGGGCGACACCAATGACTGGGGCTTCGCGATAGACCTTAAGCAGCCCAGCTGCCGCAGGATTGGTGAAAAGGTCGCCATGGCTGCGAGGATTGTGGTGCGCTGAGCAGCTGGCAAAGAGAAAGATGCGAGAAACAGATGGACCTCCGAGCGTGAAGTTTGCGGACCGGCAGAATTTCCGCCAAGCCTCGAATTGCCTGTTTGGGTCAGCGTCCAGAACTCGACTCCGGGAACTTTTCTGCCATCGCGGACCAGCTTGCGCTTCACATTGTGTTGATCTAATCTTCAATTTTGTACAGGCGGGGTTTGCTCTTGTCTAGTGGGTCGTTAAGGAAAGTCTATCGCGTTCAAATACGCCTGAACCCCCTATACTTTCAGTAAAATGGCGCAAAACGCCATTGGAAGGCTCTTGCGCGGCCAAAGTTCCAGCACCCTCCGTCAATCCATTGGCACACTCACACAGAAACGTTGCTATTCCTCGAAAAATGGTGCGATTTCTCGCTGGCCTTCCTTTGTTGCTGTCAAATTAACATCTATTATGCAGCCATCCCGACCTTTTCCCCGACTTCCTCCGCCGAGCTGGACCAGGCCCTCAATCGTTTCCGCGAAGAACTCTTCATACCGTTCGGACTAGGAACGCAGCAAAGGAGGTTAATGTTTCGTCAGAAGTATGCCGATCGTCTAGAGGAAGAACCCGTCAGCGTATCCGTCGGCGAAGATGAAGAGCCGTTCCTGCTCCGCCCCATGGACCCGCAATCAAGGCCAACGAAGAAGGAGATCGTGGACGTTATCACACTCATGCAGACGACAAAGGATTGGCAGAACCTAATCCCTTTCTTGTCCGGATTACGGATGTCACATCGTGTCATTAAGTCCGACCGTTGGGAGTGGTTGGTGCGCCGGGCTGGCCAGGCTGATGCTCTTGGTATTATTCTTGAAGCCGCGAAGCAGAGCGAGAAGACTGGTCTCCGTCTCAGCAATGTGGACATTGTACAGCGCATCTTCTTCGAACTTCACCGCAAGGCCCAAAGAGGGGAGTTCAAGGATCCAGAGGTGTCGAAGGCTCTCACATTGGCGAAGCAGTTTGTCTCCCTGATGGAAGCCCCCGAACACATCGAACATAACCTGGAGCTCGATCCTAAGAGGAAGCCATTTGTCATCGGTACCCTGCTTGAGCTCAGCGCTGCTCGTGCTGTTAACGAGCTTGGCGGCAATGATGAAGGTGGCCTGGTCCGTTCTTATGCTCAACGTCTCCTGGGCAGCTGGTCGCTTGGTAACTTCGGTCGTGACGCTAAGAATTGGCACGATGTTGACCACGTGTTGCAAGAGATCGTGCCCATTTACAATGGTATGAAGCTGGCCCTCAAGGTCAACGGCATTTCAAATGATAAGTCTGTCGCCCCGGGCCTGAAGACACGCGTGAATGAGCTAGGGACTTTGATTGCGAACCAGAAGAAGGCTGCACCGGAGAAAGCTGTACAACGGCCAACGTTGGGTCTTCAGCAGAGTCAACTTTTGCATCAGGGTTAAGCCCATGTTTCTTTCTACACATTGTCTATGAACTGTATATTACCACTTAGAATCATTTGGAGCTGTATGTTATCTCAATCTAAAAATGGGCTATTTTCTCCTTGGATAAAATATACCGCTGCGCCTGACATGTTTGGGGTACTTTAGCATCAACATGGATAGAGGCAATTTGATGTTCCATTCAAAAGCCGCAAAATAAACGAGCCGGTAACATGAGTCATGTAGCCGCGAGGTCAACGCTAAAAAACGAGCAAATGTTGTTGCGCACATACGTGATTTAGCACAACTCTAATGTGTTGTCGTCACGGATGCGGCCTTGCGCCGACAGCTTGGTTTTCCCAGAGACAACGGCAGGGCCAGAAACAGTAATCTGTTGGGCAAACGTTAGCTAAGCAAGAAAAGACGTAGCGCAAGTCCATTATAACAGAATCACGTACCTGTCCCTCATTTTCCTTGTCTTCAGAAACACCAGTGAGAACAATTTCAACGCTACTTAAAGGAGCTCCGAAGTGACTCTGGCCCTGATAGCGCCTGTAGTCGAACACATTCGTTTGAGTGACAGCACCCGCCACGCCAGGACCAGTCAAGGCGTAGACCACACGAGCCCCAGTAAAGATCTTCAAATCCGTTAACTGTCCGGAGGTAAGGCGAACTTTGGGATCAGCGTCCGCACGGTGCGAGATACATAAGAGGCGAAGATTGTCGAGTGAGAGTTCCGCCATCGGTCCAATATTGGCAACCTGGCTGAACATGCCATGAGAAGGCATGACTCCAGCATCTAGTTTCCTCACATCGAACCAACGAGCCAGGGAAGAGACGATACCAGAATGTGGCTCCATGAACCTGTTATGGTAGTCGGACATTGTGCGAGACGAGGTAATAACCACAGTTGGAGATACTCCAACAGTTGCTAAAGCGAAGTCGACACCTTCCCCAGCGACAGAGTTCACTGCAACGGAGGCATTTGAGTACAGAGCGGCCATTACCTGGCACAACGGATAGGAGCGAGAAAGGGAATCAGTCGAAAGCACCAGATCACTCGGGCTCAACCGCTCATTACGAGGCAATGAATAAGTCAATCCAGCGATGGCAGAGATCAAATTCTGTCACACCGTCAGCCTTGAACCAGTACAATAACGGAAATCCTACCTCTGGTTGATACTCGATGAACTCGCCTGCTCCTGAGGCGGATGGCCAAACCGTACTAAGGGATGGTGAGGGGCTGTTCGGCTCCCAGCTGGGAACATCAAGCCCAGCCAAGTCCTTCTTCTCTTCTACTATCTCATGCCAGACAGCAACATCCAGAGTACCTTTGACATCACCCGGCACATCATTCCAGTCCATATGCCTACTACCAAGCTTCGCAACCCAGATGACCTGAGAAAGTTGCTCGTTACTCTTCGCCACAAGAGACAAATCAAGCGCGCCCGCCTCCGCAATCAATACATCTGCCTGAGATTTCTGCAGGAGGGTAGATAGGTCATTAGGGTCAAGGTTGTGAGGAATAAGGATGATCTTAAACCCATAGAAAGCACCGGCTGTGTATCGAAGCTTCTGTCAGTAAGCTGTCATAGGGCACAAGCAGGTCGAGGAGCTCTAACCGAATATTGAGGCCAAAAGCTCAACCGAGTCTGTAAGACAGACAGCAACTGTTTTAGCCTTGGAGTACTGCAGGCGAGACCCGATGACATTGATCTCTTGCGTTACTTGTTCCAACGAGTGCTCTATCGCCCTTCTTCCGAGCACAGTATAGATCTTTCCCTGTTTGCCAGATAACTTGCCGTCCTCTGCAGCTCCGCGAACGGCAGTTTTCCAGACATCGCGCAAGTCACCTTTCCGTCCAGCGGTCCATTTCGGTGCTCCGGGGTCTTTGACGTTCAGCCCGGACCGAAGGGGGAAGCCGTGTGGGGTCTCAAGACTGCGGTAGGCGGCAGATTCGCCAGGCTGGCGGACAGGGAAGGCTGTTGACTGGCGAGCGAGCAAGAATGGGTGAATGTCTGGCTCCTTGGACGTAGCGAAAGAATAAATAAGAAAGGTGACAATAGTCCCTGCGATGAGAGTCGTGTATATGTTCCAGTCAGCCAGGACGTCAGCGACCAATGTATCTAGCTTGGCCACTAGCGACGTTTCCGAAGCCATTTTGGGTTTACTTATGCCCGACAATGCGTCGTCATGTAGGATGCGAGATGTACAAGAGGGTGAAGGTCCGATTGTTTCCTTATTTCCGTAGTAAGGGTTCCAGGCTGCAGCGAGATGGTGACGTGACCTCAGCTGAGGGTAGATGTGGAGACAACTCGCGGGTCCGGCGTTTAACAATTCAAGGTTACCGAGCTACCTGAAAAACTCCGCGTCAAAGGCGCTTGTGACAGTGGTTGCCAGTGAGCAGGACGCACCGATCATCAAAACAAGCACTGTCCCACCACAGCATTTGAAGACCTAGTCGCGCTGCCCACCACAATATGGTTGTGACTCTTTTTGAAGTCGTATAATTACTCGAGGCCGAAAATTCATACACAAATGCTCAGGTGACTTTTTTCTAGGACAGCGTCTCACAGGTAAGTTAGGTAAGTTTCAACACCCCCAATTCAAGGTAAGTTCTCTGGACCTCTTTGCGCCATACTGAGAAAGTCGTACTCACACCTGTGCAGGCTATCTCTTTTCCCCTTTGTTTGTACTTTTACGTTTTCGTACACATCAATGGCTTCCTTATCCGCCCCATCTACCCCTAGGGCAGCACCTTCACCTGCACCTACTTCAGACGAGTCCCGGACACCAGGAAAATGGCGCCATCCGCAGTTGAATGAAATAGTCCGGCGACAGAATGCTGGAACATTTGGGGATAGTAATATCAAAAGAGTTCTGTGGAATGGTGCTGCTTTATTAGCAACCTGGATCTTTGGCAACACCTTCAAATCCTAGTGAGTAGCGACAGTGAGGTCGATTGTGACGCACAGACTAATAATCCCACTGCAGCTCTCTGCGACTCGAAAAGTCCAGCCAGTATTCTACATATCCTGATCTCTCCCTGCATGTGTTACAACTTATCTTCGTTCTCAATATCCTTGTGGCACTATACCCTCTCATTCGCCCAAAGGACAACCTCTCCGATATCCCACTCACCCCTACACAACGCGCCCTCTTAGGGCTCGATCCATCTGCTACAGCACCGCCGACGCCGGGATCCACATACATCACTCCACCCAAATATCGCCTTTCTGGGTCGCGGACAGCAAGCCCGGCCAGCAGAAGTGCATCGCCTTTGTCGACCAGCGCCAGTGCTTCTGGGCGTAAGGTATCGTCGGGCGCCTTGTTCTCGCCTTCTACTAGTCCATTGCTCCACAAGGCTGTTTCAAATGGAGGAAGAGAAAATGGACGGAGACCCAGTTTCGGCTCTCCATCACCTCTAGGGAGAAGCTCACCTTTTCGTGAGTCAACCTTCCGCGAATCAAGCTTCGGATCGAGTACGGGTCCTGCGACTCCGTCGCCAGTAGGGGGGAAACGCGTGAATCTTGGTCTGAGCAACAAGTGGCTGTATGAGCGGAGCAGGCGGCTGTCAGCGAGCAATGGTAGTCTTTGAATTACTTTTGTTGGTGTTCGGTGCATTAGGGTGGAGACAATGATATATTCATATGTTCTGAAGGGCGTTCAGCAAGCGCTATGTCCTTTTATGAAAAGATCGACTTTTCAATGTGCATTTTAGGCATTATATTTTATAGGAATATTTCTTTTTTAGACAGGAATTGTATATGTATGACACATTGGAGATTCTCGGAAATAAAAATTAGCTGATGAAAATAAGCATGGACCGACCGACCGCACAATGCGCAACTAGGCAGCTTTTTCCCACGTTCCCCAGTTCTGATGTCCGAGTCTCCGCGGGTCTAGTACCAAGTTCTAGTTCCCGCTTTATGCCAATGATTGACCCAAGAATGCCAACTACCTCCATTGACGTTCATCCACACGCGGCACTCATCGATTGGAGTAATTTCCAAAGCACTGTTTCCTAAAAGCGTCACATTCAACACTGAATTTAGCTTATCACTGTTCGTGACTGCATGAGGCCGACATTTCCGTGAAACATAAGCGGTGGCTTCACAATGGGAGCTTCGGAGTCAAAGCTGGTCTTCAAGCAGGGAATCTTCCGTCTCTCAGAGGAGAAGGACATTCCTGCGGACGATCCGTACTGGGCCAGAGTTCGTTTTCCATCTCTTTTACTGATGTGGGGGTTCTTTGGTATCTCTGACTATTGACTGTAGTTCTGGGAGCTCCCAGAGTCAACCGAAGATGTCTTCAGTTTATTCACCCCCGCCGACATACGACGGACTCGCGATAACGCACTATCCAACTTCGAAACGCTATTGCTCTCTGTAACATCGCGTCTCAGTATATTAAAGAACCATCCCTCGTTTCCGGACCCTGAGCTTGCTCCCGACCGTGACGCCCTTAACTGTATTCGCATCTTGACCCGTATCCTCCCTTTCGTTTACGAAGCCGAGCACCTAGAAGACTGGGAAGAGAAATTCTTTTGGGGTCGCCGGAGGAAGAAGACACGAGAAGCACAAGTGGCAGCCGAGATACTCTTTGACGAGGCACAAACTGAAGAACCACGAGCGTCGCCAGGGCCCAATGATTATGAAGAGGTGAAGCCTTTGGCTGAGGAATTAATTGATACACTTGTGGATCTTCTCTTCTACACAGACTTCACCATCCCAAAGCTCCCGACGGCCAAAAGCAAAGTGTCCTACTCCATATGGCAGAGCGGTGTTGGTTGCAACACATCCATGGGCTCGAACAAAGAGCTGGAAAACAACCGCTGTGAGATCATTCGGCTATTACTTACCTTAACGGGAAAGGCCATGTACATGCCCTCAGGTAAGTACCGTCAACTTTGATCAATGATGGTCTCAACTGACCTTCTGGCAGGTTTGTTACCAGTACAGGGTGTCAAAGCCATTACATACATTGCAACATGTCCTGATAAGCAGGCCGTTCTGACACTACTTTGTTCGTTACTGAATACAGTACGTGTAACCTTCCGCGTTAATGTCTACGTATAGAGCTTTACTGACACTCCTAGGCCATAAAATATAATCCCGCTTCCTGGAGGGTGCCCTATGACCATGTTGTCTGGAAAGATCCTAAGCAAATATTAGTTATATATTGCTTGCAGTTTCTTTTGGTGCTTCTCTTATATCCAATCCCAGAAGATGGGCGCGGAGCTCCGCCAAAGAATTACTACCGCCATTACTTCGGAAGGCTACATAGGCCGCAGGATTTCCAATTTCTAGTTGATGGCATGACCAGAATCTTAAATCAACCAGTATGTCTTAACCACCTCCTTTGAGTATTTCTTTCTGCTTAAACCACGGTTGCTAGATGCAGGCAACAAATTCCTACCTTCCTGGTAGTCAAAAAACTGTCAAATGGGCACCAGAGATGATGATGCTCTTCTGGGAAGCTTTACAATGCAATAAGCGATTCAGATCATTCATCATCGACTCTAATCGCTCGCACGACTTCGTCATTCTTTGTATCTTCTATGCTATTGTATACAAATCCGACCCTTCACAGCAAGGCGTGGTCAGGATGTGTATTTTCATTACACAGACCATGAGCGTCGAGCCCAATTTCGGGAAGAGTCTGAACAAGAAATTCGAAGCTCAAGAGACGCTTCCACAGAGCATCCGTATTCCTGGTTTCAAGGGATCATATGCTGATTACTTGATCATGGTATGTCAATTTCTATTCTTCAGATTGACTTGTTAAACTGACATCAAGCAGTCCATTCATACTCTGATCACCGGAAGCAAAGGAAAATTAACCGCTGTCTACCCCGCGCTTCTAGCAATCATCAATAACATAGCTGCATACATCGAAAATCTGTCCCCAGCTGCATGCTCCAAACTTCTGCAGCTCTTCTCATCAATGTCTGCCCCCAGCTTCCTCCTGGCTAACGAGACGAATCATGCCCTTCTTTCCTCAGTACTTGAGTCGATCAACGCGCTTCTCGAACATCAATTTACCAGTATGTGGTATCATCGCTGCTTCACTCCACAAAAAGTTGCTAACCTTGGCAGAAAATTCATTCCTGGTGTACGCTATTCTTAAGCACAGGAGACGTTTTGAGGCAGTTCGGGAATTTACGCTCGAGAGTGGACAGCAGGAGATAGAACGCCAAAATGAGAGACGAAAGTCCGAAGGCGATTTTGTTTCCAGCCCGGTTCTGTCGGCGTCTGAAGATGATCCTCACACAGCTTCTGGCGCGCGGTCACCATTGGGTCGCATTCCCGAAGAACACAGTCCGTTCGCAATTGGTGGGGACGATTCAGATGACGAGCGAGAAGAGCAGAAGACGCCAGCGCAGTCGTCTCCGTCTGTTCAAAGTTCTCGTAGACCTTCGATTTCATCTGCTGTCGATGAAAGCGTACCACTACAGCTACGGGGGATGTCCGAAAAAGCACGGGGTAAAATGCCTGCTGGACAGCCATCCTTTTCTAGGCAAAATAGTATGACCAGTCAGAGTAGTATGTCGGCAGCCTTCCCAACGGCCCCCAATGGTTTCACGCCAACTGTAGCTTGGGTAAGCAATCTTCCGTTTCCCGCACATCGCTCAGCCTACTAACGGCAGAATGTTCAGCTTGAGTCCTGGCTCCCAGACCTACCACTCCATACTATTCTTACTATCATTTCAGCCATTATGCCCCACATCCCTGAATCCGCTTTACAAAGCACTTCTAGCCAAGAAGCCCGAACTCTAATCACGAATCTTCCCTCATTTGCGGAAGAACCAATGATCCAAAGTATCATTTCAGAGCCCCCTCCCACCCGTGTACATTCCTTTGAATGGTCAGCCCTTTCCATGGCTGGTATGAATCCTTACTGTGGGGATTCATCTTCTCGAGCGAGATGGTCGTTGGCTCCGCTTCGGGCGCCACGCCGGGTACCGTTGGAGTGTGGAATGGAACCGGCATCAAACTGTTCAAGGTCCAAGAGGCTGCAGCACAAGGACCCACGTTACTTGCTCCAAAGGGCGCTGTGGACGCTGTTGGTAGTAACCTGGTTCAACGAATTGGGAACCTGAGCCTCCGGAGGGCAAGCACACAGGATTCTCAGAACAGTTCCAGGGCTCCATCTGTTCGGGAGGTCTGATATGGTGTTTCTCAACACTCTTGTGTTTTTCTAGCAGGTTGAATCAGTGTCGTCACGTTATTATAAAGAGCTGAGCTTGTTTTCCAATGATCTTATTCATGTTCATCCTTAATGATACCTTGGTGGCGTTTGCAATAAAACATGTTTTCTTATGAACACCCATTGGGTATATAGAAGTGCTAGTCTCTTCAATATTATATCCTTCTGCTTAGTCTTTCCTTTTTCTTTTTCTTGCGTCATGGTTTGGAAGACTGCCTTTCTACCTATATTTTCTTGGTAAGCCATAACTCAATTGTAGTGCCAGGACCATTGTTCCGAACTGCAGGGGAAGAGATGAGTTTGGAATCAATGTCTGACCATGAATCCGTAAATATCATTGATATTCTTGTTCAAAATTGCTGTCGTTTCATTTGAGGGTTGGGGTGTATGTTGGCCACGTGAGGTTGTGATTGGCTGCGGACCATTTCCCACCACGTCGGACGACTTACTCCGAGTAAACATTTATTGAGCAACGCGTGTAAACCTTCATGTCCTACCTATAAGCCATCTGGTACATTTTCTGGAAGTTGTTTGCTTATTTTTGCCTTTTCTTGATTCCTTCTATTAGCCTAGAGAGAGCTGCCTGCAGATGAACATGATTTCCCTGCCATCCCTTGTCGCAGCATCCGCAGCGCTCATATCCCCGGGACTGGCTGCTGGATTTTCGACTGAGCTTCAGAGCGTACTGAAGAACACACATGGTGGCAATGAATATGGATACCCTACTGATTTTACCAGGGGTATAATGCCTGTAAGTTCATGTTAAATTACGCTGCTATGGAGAGATATTTTGTCAGGGGGTATGATCGAGATGTTTGGAAACTTGCTGATCAAGTCTATTCCGACTACTTCAGATACCTGTCCACTCCCACAAGTAGGTCACAGCCCTTTTATTCGTTCTTTCTATTTCTCATTGCTATAATATAAGTAATTACTAACCAAATCATGGCAGTGATTACTGGAGAGATATTCCCTTCTACACTGGTACGGTCAATCTAAATTCCCTAGAGGAAGCAAGACTAACATCATTTAGGTCTCTCCAAGGGCTGTGTTTCAACAGAAGCTGATGTATGGCTTTACAACGGTACACTTTATGTTAGTTCTATGATTGATACCTAGCTCTACATGAGTGACGCCCACTGATGCCCACAGGTCGGGCACGATGAATCCTCCTTGACTGAGGAGCGAACTTTTGAGTCCCTCTATGTCAATCCAATGTTAGATGTGCTAAAACGCCAAAATCCCCAAACCCGTTTTGTGACTTCACCCACGAAAAAGTGAGTTTGATGAAGTGGCCTTGCTATTTCCCATGCTTGTGGGTATTAACATTGTACTAGCGGCGTCTTTGACACTACTACTTCGCAAACCCTGTACTTTTTTGTCGATGTAAAAACGTCAGGACAAGAAACATTCGAAGCTGTTATTTCTGCGTTAGAGCCACTCCGCAGAGAGGGCTATCTTACCACACTGAAAGACAACAAGACGATGACTAATGGTCCCATAACTGTCATCGGGACAGGCAATACACCTTTTGATATGGTTGGACCGGTTGCTAATCGCGACTACTTCTTCGATGCTCATCTAGATGCGCTAGAGGAAAGCCCTGAGATCACGTCCCTAATCTCTCCTATTGCATCAACTAGCTTCCAAGAGGCTGTGGGCTCAGTCACATATAGTGAGGATGAGGCTGTTCTGAGCGACAAACAGCTAGCTACCCTTCGATCCCAGATCAGTACTGCAAAGGAGAGGGGGATTGGAGCTAGATACTGGGAGACCCCTTATTATCCGATCCGGACTCGTAATGCTGTATGGCGGACGCTTCTCCAGGAAGGTGTGGCTTTGTTGAATGCTGATGACCTGGATGCTGTTGCGGCTTACTTCTAATTGTACATTATATGCATCTCCACATGTTATGCCATCCAGACTAGAAATTGAGAGTACATCGGACATAAAGTGGTTTCAATGGCGATCGTCATCGTAGTCCTCAAATAGAAATTCGGCCATTACGACTGCGGGTGGCTGGTAAAGCGTCATGGAACGGGAGTACATGATAGAATCTCACTATCTTATCAAGATGTGACGAAAAAGTAAACAGTTTCCCTGACGATCAGCTGAAAAAGGGCCAGTCCGCTGCACGTGACCGTCCGTGAGGCTTCTGGACCAAAGGAAAAATAGATCATGAAAGGGGAAAGCAAAGAGATGAATAGGAAAAATAACGCGCGACTATTAATTCAGATCCCTGTCTTTATATGAAGCTTACAGTCTAGTTCTCAACAGACCCGATGTCTAAGGTCGATGTTGATCTGGGAGATCTCTTGGCTAAGGTGCTCCCCACCGGTGTCAAGGTCACCATTCGCCATATCTCGTCAGCCCCTACCCCATGCACAGCGCTCTTTGCGCCTCCTCCAGGCGAAGAGCCCGAGTCGACGTTTTGTGAAAACCATTTTCTAACCGTCTCCGTGAATGCCGTCGAGCATGATGGACCTGAGATTATCGTCTTTGGAATCGAAGTTCTGGTCTACAGCACAGCGCATTTAACGACTGTTTTCGTCTCCAAGGCCGATTCTACTGGATTCCTGCATTTACTGAAGGATGCACCGAAAGTTTCGCTCATCAGGCGCATCTCTAATGGCTTCCTGTCTTTCCTGGTGCAGACGCATCAACGGCCGGGCGTTCGGCAAGTGGTGTCATTGTTCGCTCGGGCTCAGAATCAGTATCTGTTCCCCGGCAGCATCGAAAATTCAGGAAAGCATGTTCTCGACGATAGGGGCCTGATTAAATGGTGGTGTCGCGTTGTCGACCCCATATTGCGCGAGTATGAGCCGGAATCAGGATCCCACGAGAAAGGTCTCCTTGACCGTGCCATGGAATCCGCTAAAAGCTCTGCAACAGCATTCTTGATTGTCCCAGGATGCGACAAATTTGAAACTCGAGGTTTCTTTCCTGGTGCCGCAAAGTCAGATGATAAAGAACGCCCCAGGTGGCTGAACAACTACCCGCTTCATCAGCTGTGCGATAACACCAAAGCGCCTCCACGCTGCTTAATTCCTCGTTTTCCAGATGATCCAAAAACGCGCTTTCTGCTTGACCTGGACGATGAGCTCCCGCAACAATCGGAGATTGCGGGCTCGAAGGAGGGCGCTGGGCAGTGGAGGAGCGTCAAATCCCTAGACCAGTTCTGGGAGATGATGTCTTTCCGGCAGGAGTGTTCTGCTGGACGACTGGTCGGATTCTTGTGGCTTGTTATTAATCCTCCAGGTCTTGTCAATTCAGTTCAAATGACAAGCTCTAGACCTGTTTTCAAAGAGAAAGCAAAGGATTCCTCGACAACGACCGTCCCGGGATCTGACAAGGTGGATTCAAAACCTACCAGGCCAGAAGTGCCTATTTCTTTTAATTCCCAGTCTTCAGACGCCGCCAAAGATTCTATAGCAGAGGCAACGTCAGGTGGTCCTGTGCAAGACCCATCTTCCCAGACGGACAGCTTGTCTTCTGAGTTTCATCCCACAATACAGCCGAACACAGACCTGAACGCATTCTACTGGCCAGAAGCAGGCCGCGGTCACGCTGTTATGAGTGAAGAAGATTACAAAACCGCGATCAATTTCCTACTTGAGCAAGACTTCTACAACCAAGAGGTTTCTATAGCCAGCACTAAGGCGTGGAGTGAGAAAGTCGCATCAATCGTGGACCAGCTTTGGGTCGGTCAGCAGGTCACAGGAAGGAGCACGTCTGGGGAATCTGTCGATAAAGCTGCTCCAACAACAAACATCATCAACACTGGATTGGTTCGAAAGCGAAAGAAAGATGAGCAGAGCCAAGCAACAACAGCACAAAATGAAGGGCGAGAGGGGGACGGTACAGTCTCAAGTGCGGCGACAGCAGAGACTAGTACAACAGGGACGAATACATCGCCTGGAGTCAATGTGCTTCAAGCAAACTTGATCCGGAAGAAGAAGAAGGCTTAGATCAGACAACAGATGCTTCTCGCATTGGTTGGAGTTGTAAACGGAATTAAAGGACATTCAGCGATTTGGGGTCTTCTATTTGGGAAAACAGGGCATTAAAAGGTATATTCAAAACAGTGATTTGTCTTTGGGCATTTGTCTTCTTCTTCTTCTTCTTGTTGTTGTTGTTGATACTATTCTTAGATCTATCGCTATCTGGGCCATTTAGATCCGTGGAACCGATAAATGACGAACGGGCCACATGGACTAAATACCAGAAGTGATCGATTCGATCCCTTGAAGCGTGTAAATATAGTTTTGGTTTCGTGTTAATTTTGATTATTCCTCCGAATATCTTCCCTAATTTCTCACAAGCATATCGGGCTTGGTATCCTATGTAAAAACGAACTCGAAATAAGAGAGAACTCGTTCGACGCGGCTCCACGGGAGGGGTGAAATTACAGGAATCCACCGCAAGATGAACCGACCCATATAATGGACGGCGTCCGCTGCATCCGAATGGAACAACCACGGAACTAATTTAGTTCATGCCTTTTCCCAGTTCGGCTGTTGCGTGGCAGCCACTAGAAAAAAAAAAGCAAAGGTTGAACGTTGAAACATCGTCGAGTGTTAAGGCCTCCTACAACGAGTCAACTGACCGCAATTGCTCTCCGCACTTCACTTCCCCGACTTCCCGTCCATAGAATGTTGTTGCGACGTTGACTACGTCTTTTTTGCCAACCGTATAGTCTTACCGCGTCGATATCCGCCTATGCTAAAGCTTCAATCGCGTTCGATTTCCCTCGATTTTGGACCGACCATTAGCAATGGCGGGCTCCGGTGGTCTGTGATCGTGGGTTGGGGGTGTCTGATCTGGTATGCAACCGTGGTCTTGGTTTGTTATCTGGGGTACTTTCAAATGTAAAGCTTTCTATTCCGCCTTTGATTCCCTCTTCTGACTTGTGTTCTATTTTCTATTGGGTGTATATTTGAATATATGCTTGCTGTGACACAAAACTAATGCGGTTTCAAACAGATGGCGATACTTTCTCCAAAGACCCCGGAAATCCCACTCCGCGACAGCCTCCGACGCTCCCCATGTCACCGCAATCCGGCCCGTCAAAGGTCTCGAGCCGAATCTGTATGACTGTCTGGCTTCGACCTTCCGTCAGGATTATCCAGCCGACAAACTTAGCGTCTATTTTTGTGTCGCATCTCGAAACGACCCTGGCTACCCAACCCTGCAAAAGCTTGTATCCGATTTCCCACACGCCGGTGCACGCATTTTTATAGAGGAAGAGGATCCTTTGCTCCAGCCAGATGGGGAACGTATCTACGACCTGGGACCAAATCCGAAAATTCGGAACATGAGTCGGGCTTATAGAGAGGCCAAAGGTGATATCGTCTGGATCATAGATTGCAATGTTTGGGTAGGCAAAGGTGTCTGTGGGAGGATGGTCGACCGGCTTTGCGGACTTGGTGCTACCTCAGGCAAAAAGTACAAATTTGTACATCACTTGCCGCTCGTCGTGGACGTCACTAGCGGTGCCAGTTTAACAGAAGAGCAGAATGCCCTGGTGGAATCTTATACCAACGGCGATGCAGATCCAAGCAGCGATGTGTCCTCCGCGCCGACTATCTCCAAACACGAACAGGGTACTCTTGCAACAGGTGGAGGCCGCCTAGAAGAATTGTTCCTTTCGTCTTCTCATGCAAAAATGTACACCGCAATCAACACAGTACTCATCGCACCCTGTATCGTGGGTAAATCCAATATGTTCCGGCGGTCGCACCTCGACTATCTGACCATGCCGTCCCCTACCGATCCCCACAAGCGCAACCCTGGTATCGATTACTTTTCCGACAATATTTGCGAGGATCATCTGATCGGAGACCTACTCTGGAAGAACCGCGTCCGCGAGGAGAAAGAGAACGGCGAGCGTTTTGGCAAGCACGGAATGGTCTTTGGAGATCTGGCGATCCAGCCTGTGGGAAACATGAGTATTGGGGATTACATTGCGCGCCGGGTTCGCTGGCTACGTGTCCGCAAGTTCACTGTTCTCCTAGCGACCTTAGTCGAGCCGGGCACAGAGTCCTTGCTCTGCTCGTGTTACGGCGCCTGGGGAGTGACAACGTCCTTGGCTCAGTTTCTACAGGAAAAAGGGTTCTGTTGTGCAGCTTATATGACAACTTGGACTGCCTTCTTCGCCTTTTTCTTCCTCAGCTTGGCCATCTGGATACTGACTGATTGGACACTCTATATAAAGTTGCATTCTGCCAAATCGGTTGAGCTCGATGAGGATACACCATCTTTTGCACGGCCTCCCTCTCGCCATTTGACTAGACGAACATTCGCTCAATGGTTCTCGGCGTGGCTTGGACGCGAGTTTCTAGCCCTCCCCATATGGATCTGGGCCTTCTACGGTGGCGTAACTGTTACTTGGCGCAACCGGCGTTTCCGAGTCGGACTAGACATGAAAGTTCGAGAAATTAGCAGTGGAAAGACACCCCAGCCTACCTCCAAACAAGCCCCAACCAGTTAAGGGAACTGAACGATAGACAGGATGGGGTATGGCAAGCCGAGCAAATGAGGGACGAATGTACGAATATCACTGAATGAAATGGTAAAAAACAAGAACTTTTCTATCCAGTTCCCACACATCTATAGACGTCCATAAAAGCGTAAATCATTGCATCGATCCCTCCGCAGCAGCAGGAGCATTCTCCCCAGCACCGCTTTCCAACTCACTACCCTTCTCCGAACTCAACAACCACTCCACAACCTGTCTCCCCTTGGACATTTTCCCAGCATCGCCTTCACCCTCCTGTGCCTCTGCCTCTACTTCAGCCTCAGCCTCATCCTGCTCCTCACCCTGCTCCTCGGTTGACCAATCAGCTCGCTCAGCGAGGAACACAGGGTCTAACCCAGCATCATTCGTAATGGAGATATCAGCACCCGCCCCAACAAGCGCCTTCACGCACTCCAAATGCGTGTTCAACGCTGCCCAGTGCAACGCTGTGTTCCCCGAGTGATTACGGTGGTTAATAACAGCCGCCACCTGAGCCTGATCGAGCTGAGCCTCAGCCTGAGTGAGAACTCCCAGGAGGAAGTTCAAAATTTCTAAAATACCCAATTAGCCTTTCCCTCCCAGTACCAAAACATCCAAAAAAAA